ACGGTCCTAGTTGCCGTTTTAGAGTAAGTTTAGCGTGCGAAAAAATGAAAGTCTTTTGAAAATTAGATTGATTTTTTTTTTTTGTTGGAAACTCTTTCCTCTTTCTGTTTGTAATTATGTAAATATATTTATATTTGCAACACGCTTACTTGAATTTCATGATCGACATGACCGGTCCGAAGATTTCTTCCTTGGCGATGCTCATGTCATCCTTTTATACAAAAAAAAAATAAATCGGATTTTTTTTTTCCGAAACTTGAAGCGCGCAAACAAATGAAAAAGAAAAATTGCAACATCGTGCGAAAACTAATGGCTTACGGTGACATCAGTGAATATCGTTGGCTCGATATAGTATCCTTTTCGGTCGAGAGGTTTACCGCCCGTGAGCAAGGTGGCTCCCTCTTTCTTCCCACGGTCGATGTACGAGAGCACCTTCTCGTATTGTTTCTTGTCGACCTGCTCAAAAAGATCGAACGAATGTTTCATTCGGAACAAAAACAAAAGAAGAAAAAAATCGAGCTCAGTTAGTTAAGACCATACTTGAGGCCCTTGATTAACATTTGGATCGAAAGGGTCACCAACGACCCACGTTTTCAACTGTTCCAATAGTCGAGCAATGAATTTGTCGTATATCCCTTCTTGAATAAAAACACGCGTCCCGGCTACGCATATTTGACCCTGAAAATTTGTATCAAGAAAACGGAAAGAAAAAAAGGAACAATGTGTGGACTAGCTTAGTCATAAAATGGCCGGAAAAACGAACCAAACTCGATTGATCACTTAATACAACTTATAGGATCAAAACCAAAAAACTTCGTCGATCGACCAAACAGTACTCTAAATGAAAGAACGCTATATTTACACGACTCGTTACTTGCCTGGTTAAAAAAACATGCGGTGAGGGCAAGAGGAGCGATTTTATCGATGTCCACGTCATCGAAAACGATGAATGGAGATTTCCCGCCCAATTCGAGTGCCACGTGTTTCAGGTTGCTAGCGGCTGCCGCCTGCATTACACGGTGTCCCGTTTCAGTCGAGCCCGTGAAACTCACCTACAGAAGGTCGATTCGTGCCATCAGAAAATCGAGCATATATAAATATATATGTGTGTGTGTGTATAATCAAGAATTGAACAGTTTTTTAATTACCATATCAACATCCATGTGAGAGGTGATTGCAGCACCAACTATGGATCCATAGCCTGTCACAACATTGAAGACTCCATCTGGCACACCAGCCTTTGTAGAAATATAAAAAGTTAGTATCAAAGTTATATTATTTTTTTTGGGTACAATGAAGGAGGCGAAAGCCTAGAATACTATATTGCGGGGATAAGACACCCCCTAAGATGTCGTGTTCCAACCACGGTTTAACCCCCGTGGGTGGGTCATCAAGGACATGGAGTCCACATGGCATGGTCGAGGCCAACGACGCAAGGTAATCGGCTGCAGAGTTTTCTTCTCGATGGATATGTCGAACCTCAAAGTTATATTATGATGGTATCTATATCAAATTAAGTGTTGAATTATAACTAGTGTGATTTTTTTTTTTTAAATTTTTCTATAGGTACCTAAATAACATGGTCTGATTCCGAACCAAAAATCGTTTTAATTGGAACCAGCGCGGGAAAACGTACGAAAAAAAATAAAAAATTCAATTTAAATTTCTAAATCAACGGCCGAGATCATTTTAAACCGTGAATTGATGGCTTGACCGACGAATCGAAACTGTTGACTACAACCAAAATCGGACCCGTAAATCACATGGCTTAATTCCAAAACAAAACCATATTCACTTGAACCGCCTAATCCATTCGAAAAAATTCAAAGTAAAAAAATTAATTTGAAGTTCTAAATCGACGGTCGAAAAGTGCATAATCTGATTCCGAACCAAAATCGTTTTTTTTTTTTGGTTGAATCATCTAAACCGCACGAAAAAATCAAGACTCGATCCAAAATGTAAATCGACGCAATACTTCCGGTTCAGGTTTCGAAATCCCTAGAGTGTTTTTTCCCTCCAAATTTAAAAGACATATTAAATAATAAATAATAAAAAAAAAAGAACAAGAAGAATAAGTAACTAATTAAATAAGGGAAATGTACAAAACCTGCTTAGCCAGATGTGCATAATAAAGCGCGGAGAGTGGAGTTTGCTCAGCGGGCTTGAGAATAACGGTGCAGCCAGCAGCCAGGGCCGGGCCCACTTTCATGGCGAACATTTGGGTCGGAAAATTCCATGGGATTATGAGCCCAACAACGCCAATGGGCTCAAGGAGCGTGTAGCCCTGCTTATCGCCCGACAGCTTCAAGGTTGCCCCGTGGATTTTATCCGCTGCGCCCGCGTAGTAGCGGATAACTTCCGCGGCGCCGTGGATGAACGCGCCCTTCGTCAACGTGTACAGATTGGCGGCGTCAGCCGTGTCCAAGGCGGCTAATTCTTCATGGTGTTGGTCTATGAGGTCCGCCAATCTAAGCATTATTCGTCGTCTTTCCTGAAAAAAAAATAAATAAATAAACATCAAATAGAAAAGAAAAAAAATTACTTGGCTCGTTATAATTTGTTAAGATTAGAAAATAGAAATTTTTATATAGTTCAGTTCGACTCGTTAATATTAATTAGAATATTCACTTATGAGTTGTCCTACATCGCTTATATCGACAAAATAGACATAATTTATAAGTCTAACGGCCACTCCTATTTCCACCAATTGGTTTTGGAATAGAACCTCACTTGGGCTTTCTTTGCTTATGGTGTGTTTCACGTGGGTGAGACCGCACAGTTTCTCCTCCCGTTTCTTACACAGTATCAGATCTGAATCTATTGTAACCGTGCAATGACGTACTCGTTTTCCCCTACCCGTTTATGAGAGCTTGTTTGTAGCACGGTTGCAATAGAACCGTCCAAGCCTATATACTTAATCATTAAATATTTATATTTTTAACAAAAAATTTATAAATATACTATTTGAAATCATATTTTTTTAGCGTAGTTTTCAAATATAGTAATTATGTAAAGAAAAAAATTACATATAACTTTATATATTCATCAACATGTCATCATATAATAATTTGCATGTGTCCCTACAACTACAAAGTAAATTAAAATTTTATATAATTAGGGAAAATAATAAATGAGAGACCATTATTATTTATGTAGGGGCAAGTTGACCATCCCCCATCCAACAATAGACAGCTAAGTTGACTTATCTTTGCTTGTGTATGTATAGTTTGGGAAGATTCCATCTACTTGGTTTCATATGAACAAAATAATACGGTCAACTCATCACATATATTTTTAATAATATTTAATATTTAATCATATTATAATATTATTATTTATATTATTTTTTAGAGTACGATCCAATAAATATATAGTTGAATTATCTTTCCTTGTCTTGTCTATGTAATAGTTTGGCAAGGTTCCATCTACTTGGTTTCATATAAATATATAATCTGAATCGATTCGTGAGTTATTTGATTGTTGAATACGTTATATATATTTTTCTGATAAAATTTTATATTTGTTTTAAAAAATATTAATTTTTTTTTTATATGTGCTGCAATATTTTAATTCGAAAGTATGAATATCTATTGAAAAAGTAACGTAATCTAACCGTTAAAATTGCCTAACGGTAACCTTATTGCACGGGATTTAACCGTTATAATACACATATAATACACTTCTAAATGCCCCTATTTCACTACCAACTTTGTGCAGGTTTCATAGAGTAGAAAATACCATTATACCCTTTATAGTGGAGTAAATTACCATTATACCCTTGAGAGATGTATATAGTACTTACAGATCCAGACAGCCTAGGCCAGGGACCGTAGTCAAAGGCTTGTCGAGCTGCTTTAACAGCCAAGTCAACGTCCTCATTGGAACCTTCCGACACTTTTGCAAGCACTTCCTCATTTCTTGGATCTATGGTCTCAAAAGTTTTTCCTGGTAAAAATAAAATAAAAAAATAAAAAATGCATATATATATATATATATATATATTTCTATATAAATGTTTTTTTTTTAGTCAACAAAATGTATACAACTAAGAATGTTATTTGAGTTGAGTTGAGTAAAGCACTCCGTGTTCGAGCTCATTTAACAAAACAACTGACACAGATCGGGTCGTTTAATAATATTGAGAAAGTTCAGTTCGGCTCGTTTGATAAACAAACTTAATTGGGGTTTTGAATTTCACTCATTAAAGCACACGAACAAACTGATGACCTCGATATTTAACGAGCCGAAATAAGTTAAGCTCGCAAACAACTCGATTCGATTCTCTTTTACATACCCAAAGTCATACGTACCCACACACACACGCCCGAAATCACAAATCTTCTTGTTTACGAAATCGTGTTTTTTAGAAGTAAGAATTTTTCCTTTAAACTTGCTTAATCAACAGAAACTTAAAATTATAAACGAGCTGTTTGCCAACACGATTTGTTCCGAGCTCGATTAGCTCATGGAAAATTATTACAAGGTAGGAAAAAAAAAATTAAACAGAAATAGAGAAAAAGGGCAAAGTAGTAACCTGAGATAGAGTCCACAAAATCTCCATTGATGAAAAGCTTTGTGAACTTTAGTTGAGGAATGTAATTGATTAAGGATGTATCAACTCTTCCATTGGCCATTTTCTTTCTCTTTTCAGATGATACAACTCAACAAGCAAATGATAAACACACACACACACACACACATATATATATATATAATGATCAAAGCTATAACACTCTTGATTTATTTTATTTTTTATTTAATTTGGATTTTTAAATCGATTATTAATTATATGACCCATTCAAGAATCCCGGTACGTGTGTGTGTAATACCTCATAAATAGGCATGTGACTTGTATTTTTTGTAGTGATTAAAATCATGGTGTGTGTGTGTGTGTATAAAGTAAATTTTTTTTTTTTTGGCAGATGATATTTTTGACATGTAAATTGTCTAGGGTCGTTTTATTTTGTCTGTGTCGTGGGTTCTTGTGTTGGTGTTTGAGTCGTTTTCTTTCTAGTCTTGCTAGTGATTCTAGGCGGACCTCGGTCTAGCCTCCAAGTTTGTATTTTCGCACATTTGTGTGCTTATCTATAGTACATCTATCGTTCCGAAAAAAAAATATTTTCATACCTTGTTACTACTAATTTTATATATTTATTTGTGGGCTTTAAATAATTATTTTTTATATAATTTTTTGCAAGAATCCGGGCAAAAAGCGTGCAATTTAAGTTAAAAAGGTGTATCTGAGAAGCATAGTTTTTAAATCCGGCTCGGTAATCGACCTGGGCAGGTCTCCGGGTCAATTGTTGAACCGGATAATTAATTTTAAAACTTTTAAAATCATATATAGAGTATTTTTGTACATAGATATATATAAAAGTAACAAAATGAAATGTTTTTTGTATAAAATTTGTACATTAAAATATTAATAATATGTATCTCATGATAGATATTTAACATATAAACATATATACATAGTTTTATTTTAAGAACAAAAAAAAAAGTATATGGCTGGGTCAACCCGCGACGGGACAATGCCCCGGGTCGGCCGGGTTGACCGGGTTTTGACTGGGTTTGGGCGAGTCATTTGTTGTCCGGTCCAAATAGTCCACCCAGACCGGTTCCGGTTCTGGATCGACCGGGTCTCGAGTCTACCCGCCGGTCCAATCCGGGTAAAAAAACTATGCTCAGAAGTCATATCGATACCAAAGACTTGAATTTTTTATTTTCGATAGTAGGCTTAATTAAAGAAAAACTCTCGAATATTATTATTATTATTATTTTTTTCTTGCATATATTCTTGTTATTTTATTTTTTTCTTGCAACTTTGCTTTGAAAATGTGTAGAGCTGAGTAATTTCTGGATAATATGTGTAAATCAAACAACAAATCGATATGGTGCGAACTCCATTTTCAACTGAGCTTAAAGCTCTGCAAAAGTTCAGAATTCAATTGGGGAAGAAGTACAGTACTCACGTATTAATACCTAATCCCATAATGACCAATTACAAGCTAAACACGTGCCAACTAATAACACGTGAGAAGAAAAATAAAGAGCAGCAAAAGGAACAAACGCGCTTTAATAAGAAAGACGCGACTAAAATGAAAAACAGAAAGAAAACTAAAGCATTAAATGAAGAAGCCGCATGTATGTCTGAGTGGTGCTGCATGAGCTTCAAAACATGAACTTCAACACCCCCCCCTCAAGCAGGAAGGCGTCCATGCGAGCGCATTCCAAGCTTGAAAATGAACCGCTGGAAATCTGCACGACCTAAGGACTTGGTGAAGAGATCGGCCGGCTGAAGAGATGACATGAGGTACTTAGGCAAGATGAAACCTTCCTTATACTTGTTGCGGACCACGTGGCAGTCTATGTCAAGGTGTTTCGTGCGCTCGTGAAAAACCGGATTGGCCGTGATATGTAAGGCAGCATGATTGTCACACCAAAGGGTAATCGGTGTAGCAATGTGAAGAGACAGATCTTTAGCAAGAAAAGAAAGCCATTGTAGTTCACAGACTGTACTAGCCATTGATCTATATTCTGCCTCAGCTGAAGAACGGGAGACCGTCTTCTGTTTCTTTGTTTTCCAAGAAACGAGTGCCTGGCCCAAGAAAATGCAGTAACCAGTGAGAGATTTCCTTGTAATAGTACAACTTCCCCAATCTGCATCTGAGAAAGCCTCTAGAGTCTGAGAAGGGGTAGCTGTGTAGAAAAGTCCCAAATCAGTTGTTCCATTGAGATATTTTACTAAATGAATGGCTGCATTCCAATGATCTTGAGAAGGAGCCTTTATAAACTGACTTAGCTGTTGAATGGCATAAGAGAGATCAGCCCTTGAAAGGTTCAGATAAAGTAATCTTCCCACAAGTCTCCTATAACTTTCTGGATGATCATAAGGTTGAGATTCTACAGAAGAGAGGTTTATGCCTTGAGGTAAAGGTGTAACAACCGGTTTGCAGTCTGCCAACCCTAAGTCACCAACAATATCAAGAATGTATTTCCTTTGGCTAAGGAAAACATCATCACCTGCTTTGTGTATCTCCAACCCTAGGAAATATTTTGCTTGTCCCAGATCCTTGATGGTGAAGAGAGCATCAAGATATGTCTTTAAGTGCTGTATGTTCTTTAAGCAACTCCCAGTAATAAGAACATCATCCACATAGATGAGCAAGATGAGAAGTTGAGTACCTGTCCCCTTGAAAAATAGACAGTGATCATGTGGAGATTGGACAAAACCATAGGCAATCAGTTTGTCTGAAAACTCAATATTCCACTGTCTACTAGCTTGCTTCAGCCCATATAAGCTCTTTTTCAACAAACATACCTCACCCTTGGCAGCCTTGAAATATCCTTTTGGAGGTGACATATATACTTCCTCATCCAAGAAACCATGAAGAAATGCATTATTGATGTCAATGTGGTGTAACTCCCATCTATGTTGTGTGGACAAAGCTATTATCAGCCTTACTGACACAAGTTTGGCCACAGGAGAAAAACTGTCTGAGAAGTCTATGCCTTCTCTTTGCAAGAAACCCTTAGCCACAAGCCTAGCCTTGAACTTGTCAATAGAGCCATTAGGATTCCTTTTGATTTTGTAGACCCACTTAGAGCTAGCCCTTTTTCCTGGTGGCAGTTGTGTGAGGATCCAAGTGTTGTTTGTTTCCAATGCCTCTAATTCCTTTTGCATTGCATTCACCCATCTTTGATCACCAATGGCTTGTTCATAAAATAATGGTTCTGTGGCTGTTTTATCAATCTCAGAGAAGAAGAGTTCCACTTCATCATTTTCTGGAATGTTTACTTCATAATCTGAAAGCCAAGATGGTGGTTTCTTGCTTCTATGCCCTCTGCCAAGTTTCTCCTCAATGGTTCTGACCTGAACTGTATCTTGTGGAACATCATCTTGCATTGTTGGTTCCATTTCTCCTGTATCATCTACAACTGGTAGTGGAATGGCTGGTTGAGTGTTTGCAGTAACCTTCTCATGGAAAGGAAACTTATGTTCATAAAAAATTACATCTCTACTGATGAAGATTTCCTTTGTATTCAAATTGTAGACTCTATATCCCTTGGTGCCTGACATATATCCCAGAAAAACACAAGCAGCAGCTCTTTCTTCAAACTTCTTCTTGTGTGTTCCTAGATTGCTTGCATAGCATAAGCAGCCGAAAATCTTAAACATATTGTAAGCTGGCAGTTCTCCATGTAACAGCTCATAAGGGCATTTCCAACCTAGTTTTCCACTAGGCAATGTGTTTATAATTTGCACAGCAGCAAGAAGACTATAAGGCCAAAGTTCCTTTGCCAGATTTAACTGAAATGATATGGACCTAGCCACTTCAAGGATGGACCTGTGCTTCCTCTCAACAACTCCGTTTTGTTGTGGAGTGTATGGGCATGTTCTTTGATGCAATATCCCATTTTCTTTCAACAAACTGTTCATGTCTTTGTTAACAAACTCACTACCATTATCACTTCTTATTTGCTTCACCTTTATTCCAAACTGCACTTCTATCATTTTGAAAAATGATTTCAGGTGAATATGAGTTTCACTTTTGTACCTCATCAAATATATCCAGGTGGCCCTTGTGAGATCATCAACAATAGTCAACATATAGGAGACATTCAGTAAAGATTCCTCAAGGTGTGGACCCCACACATCCACATGAATTAACTCAAACTTTTGCTTACTTTGTATTTGACTGAGGGGAAAAGGTAATCTGCTTTGCTTTGACCTGTGACATATGTCACATGGATTTATCTCTTGAGTTGTATGGCTGTTCTTCAAGAAATGTAGGTGTTTCAGACACTGTGTAGAGCTGTGACCCAATATCTTATGCCACAGCTGCATATCTTCATCTTGAGTGATTTCCTTGCCTGAAATATTTGCACATATTCCTTGTGCCTCAATCACATAGAGCCCAGCTACTGCTTTGCCAAATACTATGACTGACTTTGTCCTCATGTCTTCCAGCTTGCAATCCTTATCAGTAAAAGTGAAGTTCATTGCATTGTTTTCAACTAACTGCCCCACAGATAGCAGATTATACTTGAATTCAGGAATCAGCAAGACATCTTTGAGAATGATTTGGTCATTGAAATGCACTTCACCTATCTCACTGACTTTCACCTTTGAACCATCTGGTAGATTCACAATCACAGGATTTTGAGTAAAAGATTTCTTGGTCATCAATTCATCTTCACAGCAAATATGTTTGCTGGCACCTGTATCCACAATCCAGCTACCTTTCCTTAATCTTCCAGTAAGTGAAAAGGCATAGTCTTCTTTGTCACTTGAATGCTCCACAAAGTGTGAATATGTATTAGTTTCTGCATCCCTTTGAACTGCCATGTACCTTGCAACTTCTTTCTGAATTAAGGCACTTATATCTGGCAATGTGTCACTGTGTTGAGATTTTCCTTCTGAATCAGTTTTTGAAGAGTCATCATTGTCTGCCATGTTTACATTTTGAACCTGTCTTTGCTCTTTCAGCTCTTTGAACCAATCTGGATATCCATTTAGTTTGAAACATCCCTGGATTTCATGTCCATTGTAACCACAATGTGTGCAGTACAATTTTGCTCTTTCTTCCTTAGACAGTCTGGGATTTCCTCTTCCTCTTCCACTATTAAAGTT